CTCTCTCTCTCTCTCTCTCTCTCTCTCAAATAAATAAAAAAAAATAAATAAATAAAATAAAATAAAATATGGGTTCTTTGAGGCATGCAGTAAAGAACAATTATTCCCCTAAACTTGTGATTTTCCTCTACCTAAAACATATGGGCCTATAAACTACAGTGTATTCAAGTTATATCTCCGACACTAAGAGTTATGATCCTTGCTTTATAGATTAGGAAACTGAGATGTAAAAATCTTGCCCAAGGTTTCATGGCAGTAAGTAGTTGAGTTAACATCCAAACTCTTGTAGCATGGCTCTAAGATTTGTGAATTTAGCATATTAGAAAAAATTTAACTCTTGTTAACTGAACTTTTTTTTTTAAGCGCTGGAGACTGAAGCCTGGGCCTTGCACATACTAGGCAAGGGCTCTATTATTGACCAACACCTCCAGTTTTTTTTCATCTTTTTAAAAATTTATTTCATACAGGGTCTCATTATGCAGTGTGGACTGGTAGTGATCCTCCTGTGGCAGCCTCCCCAGTGCTGGGATTACAGGGGTGCGCTACCACACCTGGTTTCGGGCCCCTCACAGCATGCAGTACCAGGGATCAAACCTGGGTCCTTGTGCTTGCCAGGCAGGCGCTTAGACTGCTGAGCTATCTCCCCAGCCCTACCTCCAGCTTTTATTTTGTTTTATTTTCTGTGGTACTAGGGATTGAATTTAGGACCTTGCGCTTGCCAGGCAGGCACTTATGCTGCTGAGCTATATCTCCAGTCCCTCCAGATTTTTTTTTAGACACAACCTTATCTTGCTAAGTTTCCCAGGCTGGGCTCAAACATTCGATTCTCCTGCTTCAGTCTCCCACATAGCTAGGATTACAGGCATGTGTCATCATGCCTAGCCCAAACTTTCCTTAACATGACACAGAAATTCTAATATATCTTTAGTAAAACAGGCCTACATCCTAATTATTAACAAGAAGTTTTGGGGCCAGGGAGATGGCTCAGTAGAATAAGTGCATGCTTGGCAAGCACAAGGGCCTGAGTTCAATCCCTGGTTCCACAAAAAAAAAAAAAAAGAAGAAGAAGAAGTTTGCCTCTTATTTCCCTGGTCTTTCAGAAACTATCTCTCTCTCTCTTTTTTTTTGGAACCAGGGATTGAACTCAGACCTTTGCGCTTGCCAGGGAAGCGCTTATTCTACTGAGCCATCTCCCTGGCATCCACTCTCTTTAAAACCCACTTAAAAAAAAAATACAACATGCTATGTCCATTCAATTTGGCATAAAAGAACCCTAGTAAAAGCACTAAGTTAAATAATTAATGAAATACCTTATATTCCCAGAAATAAAATAATTTTTCATACTGGAATCAAGTTTATCATTCTCAATTATATGTTAGTACAAAGCAAAGGTTGAAACATGTATTTGAATATTACTAAGTGTCAGGAAGGGAACTAATTTTTCAAAAATCTTATTAATAGGGGGCAAAGCTGGGACTTATAGCTCCTAATTCTTTTTTTCCTTTAAAAAGTCAGCTTTGTGAAGGTATAATTTACATACAGCAAAACTGCTCTTTTTAGTGTACATTTCAAATGCCAACAGGATGCAAGCTCCTCCACATTCAAGATTTGCTATAGTTCTCTCACTTTTTCAAAACTCCCTCCTGCTCTTGGAAGCCAAGCCTTGAGAAAGGCGGCTTTGGAAGGGCTGTTCGCAGAGGAGTGACAAAACTAGGGGGGAATTCCAAGTCAGGAAACTGGAACACAGGCAAGTTACGTGATGGCTTAGGATAGGATACAGCACGATGATGATGTAGCAACAAGTTCAGAACAACAGCAAGTAATGCACTACATGAAAGAGTAACAAAGTCAAAAGAATAGGGAAATAGAGTACAGACTGAATATAATCTATATGTTCAATGTGTATATTAACTTTCTAATCCAAAAAGTGTATTGCTCCAAAATCTAAAACTTTTTGAGTGTCCACACAATACAAAAAACAGAAGTTTCACACCTGGTATTGTGTCAGGTCATGATCAACATTTAAAAAGATTTTATAAATTACTTTCAGGGTAAGAGTATAATGT